GTCTTCCCGTTCTTTTCTATTGCTTCCTCCCCTCGCTGTTCTTTTGCTCTATTGTCCTGCCCTAATCTTTATACCATTTTACCTTCCACTCCAGTCTTCTCTCTTCTTTACTCCCGCCGGCAATTCGCCAGTTCCCTTCTATGCCGAGGTGGAGACAGTCAATGTTGGAGTTATCAGCCCCAATTATGGTATATCAGCGCCAGGGCGCGGTGCTCCAACAGGGTAATGGCTGTTCCGGACCAGCTATTCTCAGCATGTAAACGTAAGGTCGGTGCCTGCTGATCAGGTTCTTTATATTCCTTCCTTTTGTTTCCATTCTCGCCTTTCTTTTTTTCTTTGTTTCCCTTCTATTTCCTGGTTCTCTTTCCCTATGTCTTCTTCATGCTCATAACTGTTATATTTTTACATCGTCCTTCTCATTTTCTTTCCTTATCTTTTCTGTGCCTCTCTTTCCTTTACTAATATTCTTTCCAAATGTTTATATAATACTCGCAGTGAATATGTCTTTGGATAACGTTCTCATTCCTCTTTCTTGCATCGATTACTTCCATAGCTTCTTTTAATTCCACTTTTTGTCCTTTTTTTTCTTGTCTTTTTCTTCTTTGGTTTTTGATTTACTTTTTATTTCTCTCCTCGTTGTGAATCCTTTCCCTCCCCTGGGGTCCGTTGCTGCCTTCCTTGTATCTTCTGTTGGTTTTTTATTCCTTAAGGAAATGTTTTAATATAGATACACCATCGCGTCATGAAGACCAGACATGTCCTTTAGCAAAAGAGCACTCGCCTTCCACCTCTCATTCCTCACGACAGGGAATAGCCTTCTTGCTTTCCTCCAGCACCATGCACCTGCAGCTTCCTCTCCCTTCAGGATCCAATCCACATTTGGAGCCTTAAATCATCTCAAGGACCCCAGAAATAAATCCACAAAGTAATCATATAGTAAAGAACAGCTTTGTTACATCAGAGAAGAGTCCACCCATGCAGACATCTAATACAGAAAAGGCTCCAGAGTCTAAGTGACTCAAGGGAGTCTCGCATATACAAAATCAAATCCATCAGAGTCCACCATGACAATCCTCCAAGAACACTGCAAAACAAGCATGATGACATCACATTCCTCCTTTACCTGGAAGGAGAGCAATTCTGCCTCACTCATTTTTCACCTGCAGAGCTATTACAAAATTCAACACGGCATTGTCACTGAAAGCATCCTCTGCATGCCCAGCACATCTACTCCTAGAAAAGCATTAAGGTCACTTCTCCATCTGCCTTTCCTTCCCCCTTCTCAACCTGAGACAGGAAGCATCAGAAACAAATGGGTGCACAAAATGTGCTCCAAACCTAGAGGAATTTCAATTCAGGCAATATTTAGTCAATCCAAGGTGAAGATACCACAGTTGAACAGGTGATGCCTTGAGAGGCTAGAAGAGAGGCTAGGCAGTGCTAAAGGAATAAAGTAGGAATTTATTAAAACGGCCTTCACAGGATACACCTTGGGCAGTGCAAGAATCCAGCCACAGCTACATCCAAGACGGATTGCAGGTCACAACTTTCCACACTTTTACTAGTTTTGGTCCATTTATATCTGGGGTTCATTGTCCAATTACAGCTCCAGGTTATGCAGACCCATTCTCCCAGTTTGCTCTCCTCAATTCCCTGTTGTTTGCACTTTTTTGGGCCTGAAGCTGCAGTGGTGTCCTTGGTTCTGGCGCAGGAAAAGGATTGTTTTGTGTGACTGAGCTGTGAGGAGAACTTGCTAACACTTCATATGCATTTCAGAGTTATATACTAATGCAGTATAGAATCTGCAAAACATGAAAAATGCAGTACAGAATCTAGAAAATATGGAAAATATAATAGTAATGCTAAAAGCTAAGGCTTCACAGGAACCAAAGGACACCTGTCTCTCACACACAGCCTCTTCTGGTGGGAGTAACTCACCTGTAGCATCGCTGGTTGCTTCTTCAGAAAAAGAAAATCCAGGACCAGGAGTACTTAGTTTAAGGGACAGCATCCCTAAAGGCCAGCTGGAAGAGCAAGACCTGTGAGAGATGACTGATGCCATGTGCCAAGAAAGGCTGGCAGAATGACACAAGTTTCAAAAAGTCTTCTGTTTTATGAGGAAAATTCCGCATCCAAGACAAGTGATTAAATACAAGGATGGCAAGTCACTTCATAAGCTGTAATATCACAGGGAACAACAGAAAGCAAGAGTACAGAGAACTGCTGGAGGTCCTCAGAGGATCCCAGAAGAGCAGCATTAAGTGGTGGGCATTTTCACAAGGCATGGGAAATGAGATCTCCACAGCTAACCAGGCACTCTCCAGTTCCTCCACTGTGATGCAGGCCGTGTTCTACTCAGCATCTGCATTTCCCTGGGGCAACACTCCTTCCCACTCAAATTCACACTCCCCATCACACAGGCCTAGGCCTTATTTAGTTCCACACACAGGATCACTGCCAAAATATGGAACATTGCTCAACCCCAGCAACATGCCCTATCTGTAAATCCCACTCCAGGCCCTTCTGCTTCCTCATCTCCCTTCACAATCATCACAAAAGAGGTACAGAATGTCTAAAAGCTCTTCCCAGCTACATGATCTTCACCATTAATGCTTTGCTCTTTTTCAGTTACTCGGGTTGGAAATGTCACAGAGCTGCATGTTAGAGTTCACAGAAGTTCTGTGATTAGAACTGTGACAGCTCTGATCCCAGTCCACACAGATTTATTTCTTCAAGAGAACACAGCAAGTGCCAAAGCACAAGAGCACTCACAGGGTGTCAACCACGAGGGACAACTTGCACACCATGAACTGGGCAAATCAGGCAGGTGTTGGGATGTTCTGGCAGATACCAGAACAATCCACATGTGACATCAGGACACACCATCTCTACTGAGGCCACTTCTGCTGGGCACAAGTAAAGGAAGTTGAGGATATAAAGATCACAGCCACATGTAATAAAATAAATCCTTGTAAATCCCACCTGAGGAGAATCAAGGAAAGATCATGGTAAAATCGACAGCTGTAAAGATTACTGTAAAAACCCACTACTACACAAGGACAGCAACTTGCAGCATAGCAACAGCATATTGACAGTAGTTCTTTCCAACCACCATAAGCACATAAATGTCTGGTTAAAACAATGCTTGCTTATCTTAAATGCAATACCTGCTGTTAAGCATTAAACACAATGCACAGAGCTCAATTGCTAAGCTTAGAACTAGAATTTGCTAATCTCTTGCTAGCTATACTTTCTGTAGCTAAGGGATTTATTCTAGACAAGCATTAATATACAGACCATTGTTCTATTTGTCCTTACTTTTCTACTCCTTATACCATTTTTCTGCTGACAAATCTTATCACTACTGCTTAGCCGTAATCACAGTTCTCTTGTCTCTGAGGCCTGCCTTTTGCAGCTCTCCCAAAACCCTCTGATTTTAAGGATCCCCACACTTTCCAACACGTGGCCTACACCAGGCAGGCACCAGCAGCAGCACAGACAGTCCCTGCTGGCGAGACTCCAAACTGCAAGGGACACCGTGGGCATTTCAGCTTCACACTCTCATCTCATTCTCAGCAGGGTCTGCCACTCCAGACCCTTAAGAAGTAGGAAAGCATCCTCAACAAGAGCACTCTGGTCCCATCTTCTCTCACCCTTTCCTGTACAAATCCTTCACTCCCGCACTCTGAGACCTGCTCTGAAGACATATGTATAACCTCATGATATTTTCTTATGACATAATACATTGTGTCCCCAATGGTTTTCACTTTCCCCACACAAGTCTTTCTGCTGCTCATGGTCACCCTTCCCACCAGACAAGGGCCAGGCCCTACTCTATACAACAGATCACAGTTTCCTTTGCTAACACAAGGTTCAACATAACTGTTAGCATATTCTTCTCAGCAATGACACACCATAAAAATCCATGTTGATGTTGGTATCATCAACACAGTGCATAAGAGATGCTCTGCTGCTGACACCTCATGTTTTCTAATGCTTATTTATGGGAATACTATTTTCAAAGTTGATGGTCGAACCTCTGAACAGCAATAGCATTGATTTCGTGCTTCAAGAAAAATAATTGTACCAAGGGCATTATTCTAATACATGATACTTCCTGTGTCGGAGAATGTTACTTGAGAATTGGTGGGGAAAGGTGATTCTTGGATTTTCGGGGCTATTTGTTTGTTTGTTCATTACAGAAGAGAAAATTTCCATTTCTAATGCTTTTTTAAGTCTGGATTACTGATGTAACTATTGATGCAAATTTTGAGAGAACATTTAAAAAGGACAATGTACTTCGCACTACATCTCTGGTCAGAAATGCAAATCCTCGGAATGTGGGCAGCAGAAACACAACAAATAAATTTTCCTTTTGGAAAACATACCTTGGGTCACACGCTTCTCCCTGAATGCTTTGTATTACTAACCAGAACACGATACTTGCAAAAAGATCATAGGAATATTATGGGAAATATCTGCCACAACTAGCCTATTTTCTAAATGAGCCTCCTAATAGAATATAATGGAGATTTTTTGTCCTTGATTACTCAGTTTTCACCTTGCATCATGCCTTCACATGACCATAATTAAAAAGACGAGGCCAGATTTCAACAAAAACACAAATGAATATCAGCACGGTTATCAGTCAGCAAAGGCAATGAGGTCGCACACAGCGCCTGCGAGACTGTAATGTACACTGCCTGGCTCTCTTGAACTCCTTCACCCAACTCGGGTGGAAATGCACACATCAAAACAGAACCCCTGGCTGTCTGCAAATCTCACATCTCCGGCCATCTCTTGTAGCACAGAATAGTTATTAAATTCTAGGGTAGAACAACTCACGCTTAGAGGATCAAACCTCACCTGCTACAGTAACTGCTCGAGGATACTGCCTTATCTCTATTCTGGACCCACCCCAGAAAGAGCTGGAGGCTCCAGCAAGGTCGCCCTGACAGAGGCAAACGTGCCATTGTCATTCTCAAGGACCCGCTAAGTACCCAAGATCCCTAAGCCGTGGGAACAGAGCCCGGCTTCAAAGAGCAGCTTCTGAAGAGGGCGGATGAAAGGAACAGGGAAGAGCATGAAGGAAAGAGCACTGACCGTGTCGAGGAGAGCGGAGGGCTCCGGCTGCGTGTCCTTGGGCGCGGGGCCGGGCGGCGGCGGCGGCGGAGGGGGGAAGTTGGGGCTGAAAACCATGAGGTCGCTCTTGGCGGCGCCGTCGGCCACGCACAGGCTCCGGCTGTGGCGCTGCGAGTACGACCAGCTGCCCACTTCGCTGGCGCACACGAGCGTGGTGGGCCCGGGCCCCGAGAGCACGGCCGCCCGCGGCGCCCAGCGCGACGCCCCGTACAGCACCACGGCCAGCAGGAACAGGCTGGACACGGCGCAGATGGCCACCACCAGCCACACGTTGGTGGCCGCGCTCGCCGCCCCGGGCCCCAGCTCCACGCCCACGGCCGAGCGCGACGGCGACGACGATGACGAGGACGAGGATCCCGCGGCCAGCGCCGCCTCGGCCGCCTCGAGCAGCGACACGCTGAGCGTGGCCGTGGCCGAGCGCGCCGGCTCGCCGTGGTCGCGCACGACGATCAGCAGCCTCTGGCGAGGCCCGTCCGCCTCGTCCAGCGCCCGCGCCGTGCTCACCTCGCCGCTGTAGAGCCCCACGCGGAACGGGCCCTTGCCCCGCGGCTCCCACAGCTCGTAGCGCAGCCACGCGTTGTAGCCCGAGTCGGCGTCCACGGCGCGGATCTTGGCCACCACCTGCCCCGCCGGCGCCCCCCACGCCGCCCACGCCCACAGCGTGCCCGACGCCGAGCCCGCCCCCACCACCGCCGCCTCGGCCGCCACGGCGCCCGCCTCCGGGGCCGAGCCCGCGGCCGGCAGCAGCGCCGGCGCGTTGTCGTTCTCGTCCAGCACGAAGAGCTGCACCGTGGCGTTGCCGCTCAGCGGCGGCTCCCCCGCGTCCACCGCGCGCACCTCGAACTGCAGCACCTGCAGCTCCTCGTAGTCCAAGGGCTGCAGCGCCCACAGGCGCCCGCTCTCCGCGTCCACCGACACGTAGCTCGACGCCGGACGCCACCCGCCGCCCGACCACGACGACGACGATCCCGCGGCCCCGCCGCCGCCGCCGCCGCCCACGCCGCCCTCCCACAGCGAGTAGCTGACGCGCCCGTTGCCCGCCTCGTCCGGGTCCCGCGCCCACAGCCGCGCCAGCTCCGCGCCCGCCGCGTTGTTCTCCCGCGCCAGCACCGTGTACACGGCCTGCGCGAAGGCGGGCGCGTTGTCGTTCACGTCCGACACCGGCACCCGCAGCCCGCGGCTGGCGCGCAGCGCCGGCGCCCCGCCGTCCTCCGCACGCACCTCCACCTCGTACTCCGACACCCGCTCCCGGTCCAGCGCCTCGCGCAGCACCAGCGAGTACGAGCCCGCGAACGTCGCCTCCAGACCGAACGGCGACGCCGGCCACACCCAGCACCGCACGCGCCCGTTCTCCCCCGAGTCCCGGTCCGACACGCTCAGCAGGGCCACCACCGTCCCCACCGACGCGTCCTCCGCCACCGGCACCGACAGCGACGTCACCCACACCTCCGGCGCGTTGTCGTTCACGTCCAGCACCTCCAGCACCACCTTGCAGTGACCCGACAGCGGGGGCATACCCTTATCTCTCGCTTCTATTTGTATCTCATATAAACGAGCTTCTTCATAGTCCACGATGCCTGCCAAATGAATTTCACCCGTCTTCGCATTTAAAAGGAAAATATTTATTCCCTTTTCAGGAAAAGTATTGCTCACACTAAATGTCACTTCTCCATTACTTCCCAAATCCGGATCCGTGGCATTCACCCTCGCCACAAACGTCCCCTCCGTAGCGTTCTCCGGCAGTTGTACTTTATACACCGTCTGGTTGAATTGGGGCGCGTTGTCATTCGCATCCTCCACCGAGATCACCAGCTCCATTGTCCCCGTCAGAGACGGCCGGCCCCCGTCACTCGCCGTCAGCACCAACCGGTGCACGGGAATCGTCTCGCGGTCCAGAGATTTCGTGAGTACCAGAAACAGGGATTTACTCCGAGAGTTACTGTTTTCTTCCTCTATTCTAAAATGCTCGCTGGGGCTGAGTGTGTAGGAGAGCTGCGCGTTCGCTCCGATATCCGCATCCGACGCGCCCTCCAGCGGGAAACGAGACCCCGGCAGAGTGGTGAATTCCGCGATGCTGAGGTTCTTTCGGGCGGCGGGGAAGACGGGGGCATTGTCGTTGATGTCGGTGACCTCCAGCTGCACATGGAAGACGCGCAGCGGCCGCTCCAGCAGCACCTCCAGGCGCAGCGCGCACGGCGCGCTCTTGCCGCACAGCTCCTCCCGGTCGAGCCGCGAGCTCACCAGCAGCGCGCCGCTCGCCCCGCTCACCTCCACGCTCGCCCGCCGGCCCGGAGCCACCAGCCGCAGCCGCCGCGCCTCCGCCTCGCCCGCCTCCAGGCCCAGGTCCTGCGCCAGACGGCCCACCACCGTGCCGGCCTTGGCTTCCTCCGCCACCGAGTAGCGCACCTGCCCGCCCGCCAGCGCCCAGGCCAGCGCCTGCAGCACCAGCACCCGCAGCACCGCCGCACACCACCGCTCGCCCATCCTCCCTGCCGCCGCCGCTCTCGCCGCCGCTGTGGCTGCCGGCCCCGGCCCGGGCCCCGCACGGCTCCCCGCCGCCGCCGGACGCACCGGCTCTGCTGCCCGGCCCGCGCCGCCCCCCCGCGCTCACAGCCGGGCTCTCCGCCGCACCGGGGCGGAGCCGCCCGCACCGAGCCGTTCCTGAGCCTGCAGCGACACCGTGCGCTGCTCCGCCGCCGCACACGCCACAGCCACAGCGCCTCTGCCTCCGCTCCTTTAACAACATCCCCTCTGCCGTCTGTTCATCTCTTCTCCGCTTATTTTCCTTGTTTCCTTTTCTTTATCGATTGCTATTTGCTTACATAGGTTCATTTCTTTCCTCATCTTCTCCTTCCTTTCTTCCGTCATTTCTCTGGTTTTCATCATTTTGCCTTTCCCTTCCTTTTCCTACTCTTTCCTTTTTAGTCTTCCCTTTCTTTTCTATTGTTTCTTCTCGTTGTCATTTTGCTTTATTGCCCTGCCCTAATCTTTATACCATTTTTCTTTCCTTTCCAATCTTCGTTCTTTTTTACCCCGGCCGGTAATTCGCCAGTTGCCTCCTGCGTCCCGCTGGAGACCATCACTGTTGCAGTTATCAGTGCCAGTTATGGGATATCTGCGCCAATTATGGTATATCAGCGCCCATTACGGTATGTCGGGTCCAATCATGGCATATCAGCGCCAGGATGCGGTTTTCCAGCCAGGGAAAGGCTGTTCCGGACCAGCTCTTCTCAGCGTGGAAACATAAGGTCGGTGCCTGTGGATCAGGTCCTTTATCTTTCTTCCCTTTGTTTACATTCTCTTCTTTCTTTGATAGAACCTTGCTCCCTTCCTGTCTTACTTTTTTCTTGAAGAGTCGACCCTTGATGTATCCTTTTCTCCTTTATTTTCTTCTGCTATTGTTTCCTTTTTTTTCTTTCTTTCCCTTCTATTTCCTGGTTTCCTTTCCCCATGGCTTCTTCATGCTCTTAACTGTCATATTTTTACATCCTCCTTCTCATTTTCCTTCCTTATCTCTTCTGTGCTTCTATTTCCTTTACTAGTATTCCTTCCAAATGTTTATATATTACTCGCAGTAAACATGTCCTTTGGATAAAGTTCTCATTCCTCTTCCTTGCAATGTTCCTTCCATTGCATCTTCTGATTCCACTTCTTCTTCCTCTTATTTTCTCGTTTTATCCTTTTTTTAATTTACTTTTTCTTTCTCTCCTCGTTGTGAAGACTTTCCCTCCCCTGGTCTGTTGCTGCCTTCCTTGTATCTTCTGTTGTTTTTTTTTTTCCCTTAAGGAAATATTTTTAAAATACCTACACCATCACGTCATGAAGCACAGACATGTCCTTTAGCAAAAGGGCACTCCCACCTCTCATTCCTCATAACGGGGAATAGCCTTCTTGCTTTCCTCCA